CTCATAACTTTTTCCGTATTGATTAAAGTTTCACATGCCTAATTGGCATTGGGAACACCATAAGCTAATCATATAATCAAACGGGTCAACCCCTTTTTATGTCCCTATCATACCAGAATTCTATAGTGTTTGCCACTTGTTCCTGTTAATGGTCTGTCCCGAATTATGAAAAGCATAAATGGTGGTAACGAAAACAAATTGAAAAATTGAGGACAAAGAGAGCATATTCAATGCATAAGCAGTTGAGTTTTATTGAAAAACAGTCATCATCTTTTAGTCTTATGACCTAGACAAAATCTGGGACTATTGACTGATCCACTATAAAAATTATTCGAGAATTGAATAGAAACAGTACTGACTAGAAAGCGATCTTGAGGTCATTTCCCTAATAGACCAAAAAAGTGTCATATCAGAAGATAATTATGAAAAATGAGGGATTTTATTTGTTTATTTTCTTTTATTATGGTGATGGATGGAGCGGTCTTTGGAAAGTAGTAACAAGGTTTGAATTGAAAATGATGCTGGATTATGCCTTCCTTGTATTAAAGGTATGCCACAAGAAGTTTAGAATTTGAATTACATGAATAGTCGGTCAAGCCTCATATGAAAAGATGTGATCCACTTGGTATTTAAGTACTTCAAGTTTATTACTAACAAAGTGCTAAAACTTATTAGTACGTACTGCTAGTATTTGTTGGATGGCAGCTCCTTAACATGCATGAATTTATTTGGATCCCTTTTCTTGAAAAGCAAACACAAAAGTATGGAAAATGTCAAGTGAAGTGGGGGCCTCCTTCTTCCATCCCTAAGTTCCATCCTGACAAGAGAAACTTGTTTTGGTCAGATTGGAATTTTGCACATTCTCCCAAACATGAACATGCACACACTTTTGTTGTAAGATACTTAAGGTCACCCGGAATTTGGGGAAAAAGATTATGACATTCTAAGGACTAAGGACTCTCTGGGAGCCTTTGGACTTTGACGAGACTGAGGGGAAGGGATCAAGGGATTTTGTTTGTCTTTGACCGGCTCAGAATTGAATTCTTATTTCTTTCCAAAGGCAAACTGAGCCCTCAACAAGGCTCCTTGAAGGGTTTTTCTTGTTCCTTTTTCTACTGCTTAATCACAACATTACTACTGCAATCCTGCAGCTGCAAGTAGCCAGGGGAATATCAGGGATATTGTTGCTCAGTTGTTGGGATGGGTTGAGACATTTTGTCTCATATTTCAACGTGGTACAGATATACAGACAGTGGAGAAGCCTCATGTGACCATAAAGACTGTTAGATGAACGTAAACAGCTAATGACACTTCTATTATGAGAGCTATTGTGTAAATTTCACAGCAAGACACGGGTAAACTTGAAAGATTAGGACAGTGCATATTTCACCTCGGGCATTGTATGGTGACGCATGAAATTTGGCTATTTATCCTTCACCATTTATCTCCAAGAAGGGGGCAGCTCAATAGATCTAGCAAAACTTAATTGGATTGAATTTTGAACTAATCAATAAACTAGCCAGTTCGTATAACTCTCAAGTTTCGCCCCCTCAAGATGAAAATGTAGAATATGAAGGTGTCCAACGAGTAGCCAATAGCCACTTGCAAATTCAATGAGGCGTGTCACTTCCCTCCCCTGCAACTTGTCCCAATTATTAGTTAAGACTTCAAGGCCTCGAGGCTTCAAGCATGTACTTTTCTCGTACCATTATCGTGGGGTGGGGTGGGGATGGGAGGCAAGAATCTGCAAATTCACTCATCTGACTCTTATCGGATTTTGCGTGAGGAAGAGAAGATAGCTAGTCCATGAATAGCCAACCCACTAGCTGCAAGTAGCCAGGGGAATATCAGGGATATTGTTGCTCAGTTGTTGGGATGGGTTGAGACATTTTGTCTCATATTTCAACGTGGTACAGATATACAGACAGTGGAGAAGCCTCATGTGACCATAAAGACTGTTAGATGAACGTAAACAGCTAATGACACTTCTATTATGAGAGCTATTGTGTAAATTTCACAGCAAGACACGGGTAAACTTGAAAGATTAGGACAGTGCATATTTCACCTCGGGCATTGTATGGTGACGCATGAAATTTGGCTATTTATCCTTCACCATTTATCTCCAAGAAGGGGGCAGCTCAATAGATCTAGCAAAACTTAATTGGATTGAATTTTGAACTAATCAATAAACTAGCCAGTTCGTATAACTCTCAAGTTTCGCCCCTCAAGATGAAAATGTAGAATATGAAGGTGTCCAACGAGTAGCCAATAGCCACTTGCAAATTCAATGAGGCGTGTCGCTTCCCTCCCCTGCAACTTGTCCCAATTATTAGTTAAGACTTCAAGGCCTCGAGGCTTCAAGCATGTACGTTTCTCGTACCATTATCGTGGGGTGGGGATGGGAGGCAGGAATCTGCAAATTCACTCATCTGACTCTTATCAGATTTTGCGTGAGGAAGAGAAGATAGCTAGTCCATGAATAGCCAGCCCACTTGAGACTCCATGTCAATTGGTATTACTGTAGCATTTGCAGCCTGAGTTCTTTCTTTCCTGATTTCCAGTTTCCATCTTTTTGTCCCCTATTTAACTGGAGAAACTACGACTACAAGTTCTTTTTAAGAAAAAAAAAATTTTCGAACAAAGAAAGAGTGAAATTTAAGAAGTTGGAGGAGAAAGAGGAATTTGAATCCCAAACATTTAATTTTTGGAATGCCTACTTCAGCCGCCATCAGACCAGCACCTCAATATTACAAGGTCTCGCATTATAAGTTATAAGTTGACAGACAGATAGTGCGATTTATCAATAATGGGTAGCTAAACATACATCCTCCAGGAGTAAGGCCTTGATTGAAAAAAATGATCAATGGTGGCAAGGAAAACTACTATGAACCACAATAGCTTTCCAGAATTTTTTGAAATGTTGAAGAGTTCCACCCCGACATTCCATTACTTCCTTATCCAATTAAAAATCACCCGATCATAAGGTAAAATTATGAGTTTCATATAAAACAAATGTGCATTTGAATGAAGGAAAGCACACTCAAGATCGAACGACGACTAAAGAATTTCCAACAAGTCTAATCAACATATACTAAGAAATCATAACATTTCCATAGGAACACCGTGAGAGCTCATCTGTTGGCCAATTGCAAGTCTGCAACAGGTGCAAATAGTTCCGCTCAATCCCTTCCAATTTTCTCTCTGGCAAGGAAGATAACAAAAAATATCTGCCCAAGATTTGAGGTACGGTGAAATCATGTACGGAAGATCAAAATAATTAAGTCCGAGGAAACACACATCCGGATTGTATTACCAACCGCTTTTGCCTATTCTTTCGTCGAACAGGAAGGAAGAAGCCAGCTAACTGTTGACTGCCACCCAAGAGATGGGCACGGTGACGTGACACTCGATACTGTTGCCAAGTAATCAAGGGGGCCCACCCAAGCAGACGTGTCGGCTCCTTGGATTCCACGTCAGCACGGAAGGACCTGCAAAATACTGTACAGAGAGAGAAGGAAACGAAAAGAAAGATTGCGTTGCAGGGTTGACAGAGTTAAATGCATGTGTATTTGTCGAGGGTTTTTGTACTTGGCTACGTTCCCTTGACAACTGAATCAAGAGGGTTGAAGAAGCAGTAAAGATTTGTTGAGGGTTTTTGTTGTGTACTTGTACTTGGGTACGTGCCGAGAGAATTGAATCACAGAACTTAAAAAGAGGCTTGAAGAAGCAGTAAAGATTTTGTGATGGTGAATGAATCTTCATTCATTCTTTTTTCAAGTGTAGGTGAAAAGTCTTCATGGGAAACGAAGTGGTGCTGAAGGAATTGTTGTCAACTTTCTTCTTCTCTTCTGATCTTTTTGGATCAGATTGTCAATGAGCATTTTGCTTTTCAGAAATATGAAGGGGTTTTTTTTTTTTTTTTTTTTTTTTAATAATGCTAGGAGCATTTAGGATTTAACTTCATAGTTCTTAGTTTGCTAATTCATCAGAGGATAACAACACATTTCGGCGCTCACTCTAAACTTCAATGCTGATCCCTCCAATCCATGCATATTTAACAAAGAACTTTTATCAAATGCAATATATACTTGAAGAATGATATCTTAAATGAAAATTATTCATACCCTCTACATTCCTGTTTGGATAGAGTATTGTTCTTTGTATGACTTCAGGTCATTCTCGTTTTCCCGTGAATTAGTAGCCGCGTGAGCTGAACATAATAATAATTATATCAACTGTTTTGACCAAAAAAGAGTGGGATATGAAAGCAAGAATTAACACATTATCTGTCTTTAATTTCAAGGACCACATTATCTTATTTTAGATATTCAGGACTCATATAAAATTCTGGAAGTATTTCAAGGAGAATTTTGAACAATTTGAAGCATTTTCACTTTAGTAGGAAAGCTGAATTGCACCAAAATGCCTCCCACCAAAATGCTACATTTAAGTGGTTTGCTTAAAAAAAATTCAGGCGGGTGTGTTCTGCACCCGTTTGATCCGGTGGTGGTTCAGTCCTCTCCGGATTATCCCTGGCCTCCTTAGGTGCGCCCCCTCTCCCTTAGTGTAGCATAGATTAGGTTATACAACTGTTGTCGCCTTCGGAAAAAAAAAAAAAAGCTGAATTGCACACGACACTGTAGTTCTTGGGGTGGCTGGATTTCCATCCCTACCGAAACATGAAATTGTAGCTGCATAATTCTTGAGGCTGGGAACTTTCATAATTCATGCAGCCAATGCTTGTCGCTTCTCTTCTTTTTTTTTGGGCCTGTTGTTTTTTGCTCAAATGAAATTTAGATGCTTCCCCATTCTTTGGCATCTCCATTCCAAGTCTACTTCGATCACAAAAGTCATTCAGCTCAAGAACACAAAACGAAAGGATAATATTCATCTCCTCTTTCTTATGCATCAATACTCCTTGTTACCCAAAAAAAAAAAAGGACAAAAATGATGACTGTCAGCCATAGATATATCACTAAATACTTGACAAAACAAAAGCTGAAATGAGAGGAAGAAGAGTGCTTAATTATCATTGTTACAACAGATTTCTAATTATCTAGCGCCAAGGTGGTGATCAAGTCAGAAAAGATGACTCGTTAAGTTCATTAGAGTAAGCTGGATAATATCCAGTTGAACACGACAAACAATACAAGGAGAGACCAGCAAATCGAAATCCAGACTGGATTTTAAGTGCCAAACACTACATTTACAACATTGACGACTTCTCAATCTGGCCAGACCTGAATGCGAAGCTCAGAAATGAACCAAGCAATCGAGCACGAAACATGATCCACTCTTACAATGGCTAAAAGGCGAGGTCATCAAGCTCCCTGGTAATAAAAGCATGTGCAGCAAAATCTGCCTCCGCATCAGCATAAACTCTTAAGGACATTGTAGGTTTGAATCTGCAATTTACAACTACATGATGATTCTGCATATCCAAAGATTCAACACATCAACCATCGAATACAACAATTTAAGGAACTCAAAAGCCAACTGCTTCATTGTCTACACCACTAATATGAATGTAATCCTGCTTCTATTCGTACATGGGCAGCCACAGAAAGCATCACCTCGAGTGAACTTTAGCTGTCTCACACAAATTGATAAAAGAATCAATGAGTACTGCTTTCATATTCCTCCAATCAACCATTAAAGGGAAAAGCATTACACAGCGTAAGCTTACTATTGCCCGAAGCTACAGATGATGGCACTATTTTACAAGTGCCCCAGATTTACCTGCGACTATTCCCAGCATTTCCTAGCAATGATACAGCTTGAGTGGACGATATCAACAAAGATCATTTAACTGAATCTTCCGCCCACCTCCTCACACTTGAGGGACCAGCATTGTCAGGAGCATCGTGCCATACCAACTCCATCTGGAAGGATAGAGGAAAATATATACTTGTAAATACTTTGTTATGAAATCAAGTATGAAGAACATTTACAGATGAGGTTTATCCTCTCAATGCACTTCAACTGAATCTTATAAAAATTGAAGAAGAAAACTATAGAAATAAAAAACATGCTAAAGATGAGAAGGAAAAAGAAAAATAATTTCAACTTACATCCCCAACAAAAACAGTGTCACCTTCCTTCACACCAAGTCTGATGAGAGACTTATTCACACCACATGCCTCCAGAACATGTTGAAACCTTTTCGCAGAATCTATGTATCTGCAAAAGGAACAAATTCATTAATATCAAACAGCATTTTGAATGAAAACCATTATCTTGAATTATACATATCATGGCTAATGTGTATCGTAGATTCAAGATATAGCATGGGGACAGGAACTTTTGCATGCCAACACAGAAGCACGTACTTAAATCATTAGACAAAGACATATAAAGCATTATGACATGGTAGATGTAGGTTACTTCTATCTGACTATGTGTCCTGAGGGGAGGTGGTTGCCCTTGATCTGTCCAGCATAATAGTTCCAACAAAGGTTTTTTTTTTGGGGGGGGGGGGGGAGTTGGCAAACACAATGACTTCACGGTGATGACCAACAAGCTTGGTACCTCCAGTTTGTCATTTGGACAAAGCGTTGTAAACCTGATCCTGTAACATGCCATGCATTGCTATCACTGTCATGGGAGATCTCAAATTCATTTATTGGAGAAGTTTGCTGCTTTTGCACCATATCAGCCACATGGTTTAAATTTACCGAACCAGTTGCACCTGAATTAGAAGGTCTAGTGGTTAGAGCATATAAACTTGCAGTGACAATCAAAAGTGTAAATTTACACAACAGGGAAACAAGAGTTCAAGGGGCACGTTGGGTAAGCACCAATTAAGATTCTAGCAATTACTCAGAATGAGAACTTAACATGGATTTCTGACCTTCTTTACTGACTTTATTATTAGTGCATTGCAGATTTTATAAAATAAAAATATATCCTTTATAAAAAAAAATTTTTTGAACTCAATTATATGTTTGTTAGAATCTCCCTCCGTCCCACTTTGATAGTCCTGTTTTTCTTTTTCGTCTGTCCCAAACTGTAGTCCACTTTCTAATTGAAAAATGTTGTAGTTATATTTTAATTTTACTAAAATATTTTTATTTAATGTAAGTTGTTGTTACTATAAACCTACCCCATTTAATAAAAGTTGATTCTTTTTTTATCATTAATTTAATTTTTATAAAATTGTACTCTATTTAATGTGAGGGTATTTTAGAAAAATAACAATTTAAATTTATTTTTTTAATAAAATTAATTACTTTTTTAAAAACTGTGTAAAAAAAGAAACAGCACCGTCAAAGTGGGACGGAGGGAGTATATAATTAGGTTCGCTTCTCGTCTTCTCCTGTGAGTTTTCTGAATTTATTGTGATTTAACCCGATTTGGATATTTCATGGATTCACGTGTCACATAAAGATGCTAAAATGCGCCGACGAAGTTCTGACCGTTTGTGAATGATCTGGGTGTGGTTGGCGGACTCGAGGTAGCAGAAAGGGTACATTTATTGTCTGCTACATTCAGATGGGCCCTGTTGGGCCCACATGTCTCTTGGGAATTGTGATTTGGTCTTTTGGCCGGATTCGAATCTCCCTTGTGTTACTTAGTCTACTCTTTTTAGTCTTTTACCAGAAACCACACGTGTTTCTGGTAAAACATAATTGGGCTACTCTTGTCCAGTTGATTAGTTTGGGTTGGGTTACTTGCAATACGTCTTGCATTTTGGGCTTCCAGCTTTGTAATCAGCGAAGCGGGTTTGCTTTTGCACTTGCGGAGGAGGGCCCAGTATTTGCTTGGACTTAAGGGTGAGAATTGGGACCTCGCCAAACTTTTTTCCTTCAAAATGGATAAAATACCGAAAATATTTGGATTAAATCTTGTGTACATAATCAATGTATGCACTATCACCATTAGATATGTGACATGTGTCAAGTTTGAATTTGAAATTCAAATTTTGTTATATGTCATTCACCCAAATATGACAGTGTATACACTGACATTGCATATAAGATTTCCTAAAAATATTTTGCACAAGTAGAACATCATATTAGCATTATTTCAGAGACTCAAGAATGGAGCAAAAATTAGGGAGATTTAATGATCTTTCAATCCATCGTCTGTGGTAGGGTTGTAATCGAACCAAGCTGCTCACAAACAACTCAATCAAAAACTTGACTCGGACTCGAGTTGACTGAGTTCGAGTGCTTCGATAAGTCGAGAAAGTCAAGTTCGAGTATTCAGAAGTAGTGCTCGAAAACTCGTCGAGCCTTATCGAGTTTTTTAATTTTAATTCTTTAATATATTATTATTATAAAATTACCCTTATGCCCAAAAGAGTGGTTGAATTTACAAAATATTTCAGGTCATATGAAAATTTTAAAAAGGCAATAATGTCTTTTTGCTCAAAAATTGTCAAAAAAATGAAATTTTCTAACTTGAACTCGATCAAGTTTGATAAGGCTCGCATTGACTCGAGTTCATGCGAGTCGAACTCGAGTTTTATGGGCAATGCATCGAGTTTGAGCTCAAGTTCCAATAATACTATTCGCTCTAACTCGAGTATCTTTCTTATATATCGAGTCGAGCTTGAATATGGTGATATTCGAGTTCGACTCGACTCGATTACACTCCTAGTCTGTGGCATCTACCTGTTATACGATTTCAACCAACCCACTTATTGAGTATAAAATTACTGTTTTATTTTCCATGTTATCATTTCTTTGACCGATATACAAAATTTTCTGCCCATTTTAACTTTTTGGTCTTATTTAAGATGAAATGGGAATCTATTCGTGATTTTTTAATTTAAATATTGAATAATGCGATAGAAATCTAATATTTGTTGAGGGCCAATTAATCAAATTGAATCAACCATTAACAAATAAACTCCAATATGGGTAGATTTGATTAGGGAGATGCAGAAATAGTACCCTTTTTGCTCCGCCTAACTTTATGCCCCTCTAAGGTTATTTTAGTAATAGGTTTTATAGGAAGTGGACAATACTATTTCGTTGTAATCCCATTTTAAGAATCATATTCCTACTGTCATTTTAATTGTTGGATTTTTTTGACGAGTGCCCATAGAGTATTCATTAACACACCTAATATTCATCTAATCTGCTATATATATATATATATATATATATATACATATATATATATTAACAATTACTATCCTCTCTTATATTTCTATATTTTTCCTATTTAATCTTGTCTACTCTCGCTTGTATTTATTTACTTTACCTAATTAAACTTACATTTTCAAAAATATAACATTTGAATTATGTCTTGACGAGTGCCTTATGGACATCAGTTAAACAAACAATTAATTTTATAATTTTTATTTATTATAATATGTGATAAAACAAATAGTAGGAGTGGAAATAATAAAAAATGAAGTGTAAATAACATTGTTCTTTATTTTTTAAATTTATGGAAAATCGAGTTTAACCTTCAATGAAATCAGCCATTGACAATGACATAACAAAGTGTGGTGGATCCCTCTACCAATGGCATCTTTATTTTAATTTCTTATGCGAAGTCATAGAAGATTTGCAACCAAGCCACTTTGAAACACCTCTGTGGAATTAAATTGCAAGTTAATCCAAAACATTATTATTTCAAGTGCTATGTGTAGTTCACACTTTAGGGATTGAAGTTGGTACTGTTAATCAAGGTAAGTAATCGGGCAGTGGCACTTTTCGGCCGCAGAGGGAATTAATTAAAGGACTCTCTTGACTCATATCGCCTTCCATTCAATCATATACTGCCATTAGTTACTCAATACTTACTGGTTGACTGATACACATAATTAAGTCTTTTGTACTCTAAACAAGTCTTTTGTGATAAAGGCAATCTTTATCTACTGCTTTCGTTTTTTTGTTCATTTTCTTTTCTTCGTGTCAAATTGCGAAACCATTCTTTCCATGACTACCTATAGATTCTGATTACGAATCTAACAATATTTGGATGACTTAGAAGGAGAGATAAAGTATGATATATGCCATTGACCAGCTCCCTTGCGCCAATCTCCTGGCTTCTTTCTAACCTGAGCGTGTGACGAACTCTTATTCCAACTGGCATGGAGATGCTTGATGACAACTAAGTACGCAATTGCTTGAATGCTACTGATGTCCTGGTGTTTATCTTCTTAAGCATAAGCGACAGTGCCAGGAGCAAGCACAAAAATGGGGAATAATACAACTTTGTTACTGGTTTCCAAATGAAGCATATTGCAAGATTCTCATTTGTACGTACTCGTCAGAACCAACTAGCAGTATATAATAACAAGACGTCATCCCAATTTCCTGGCTAATCTTATCTTAAGATGAACCCATTTAACACGTGCCAAGGCTATGCAACCATTAGTACAGTGAGCATCCACTATATAAAAATCAGTGGGCAGAATCTTGTTTTCAATTTTGTCAAGACATGCACTTGTCGATGTATTTTGTTTATGATAAGATTAGATGACAATTCCATTTTGCCAATAAAGTTTTGCATTAGTATGTATGAGCTTAATTAATTAATTGAGAACTGAGCATTGACGGTGATCAGTTGCTAATTACTTTCATCGTTTCGGTTTTGCATGAAGGAAGAAAATCAGGAGTATCATGCATTAATATGGCTATTTATTAGAAGGGTTTAATGTGTTTCAGATGTAGCTTCTGAGCCGAGAATATTTTATTTGATCATCGTTTCGCTGCCTTGGGACTTTGATTGTCAACCAGCAGGCATAAATGCTTGTCCATTACCAACTCGCAGAACCTTTTACGTGACAATGAGCTCGATGGAGCGAAGAAGAGAACCAAACAAATAATTAATGGAGTTGTAGACGATACTATGTGCTTGCAGTGACAGCGATCGAGCTTAAAAAGATGATGGAGACTAACATTATCACATATGCAAACTCAAATCATTAGCCAAAAGCACATACTGTATTACAGTATAGGGTACATGGTGCATAATGAGTATGTATTGTTATTGATCATCAGTCTCAAAAAGCTCGAGTACACATTTATTTAAGTAAGAGTTTTAAGTTCCCACTCGAAAATCGCCTATTCAACCTATATATATATATATATATATATATCACGTACGTCTAAACTGGATAATCCGACCTCTATTATGATTATCGATCGACCTTTTGCAACAAAAATGCATTATTCTTATATTAGTGCCGGACATATATATATATATGAAAACTATATATATTGTATTATGTACTTGGTAACACATCAAACCCATAAAGCTCCTGCCCTTTTGAGCATTGGCTTTAAGGATCTACTGAGATGAAGATTCATGACCTCGTTAGCTCCACCAACCAGCTCGCCACCGATGAACACAGCCGGCACGGTCGGGTTACACCCACTCCTCAAAAGGGCTTGCTCGATCTCTCGGCCTCTTGGGATTTCATCTAGCTCATAGACAGTAGGGTTGACTCCGAAGTCAACAAAGAGAGACCTAATGCTGTGGCACATTGCGCAAGTGGTCCTGCCGAAGATCACCAGCGGCTTCTCGGACACCATCTTGCCGATTCTGTCCATCGATACAATCAAACGATTATTAATTCGAAAGCTCGTGCTTGTATAATCAGTAATGTAGAGAGATCGAGAGCAGCGAGATGAGGTGATGCGGTATGAGTTTGTAAGATGACTTAATTAGGACCAGGTAGATGTTGGTGTGGGGGGAAGTTGAGAGTCCAGTGGGAGATTTATATAGAGTTTGGGAGGTGGCCATGGGGATGGAGGTGGAGGATTAATTAATTATGTGCTGTTTTCACGTGGAAAAAGAGATGAATATTTTCTTTTCTTGGAGGAATTAGAAGAGTCATTCATGATCAGATATTTGGGATTGGTTCCACATTTTAGCTACGATCATTTGTTGATGGCGATTGACGTGTGGAATGTGGCACTGCACAATAAAAGTTGTGCGATAACGAATCTCTGCATACGGAAATTGAGACGTGTCTGCGGTACGGTCTCATTGCAAATTTGAAGATGAATTGATGACGATAAGTGCGAAAGACTTGTTGCAATTTCATTTAATCCTGATTCGATATGATAGTTCAGTAGATATGATAGTTCAGTAAAGCAACTCTGCTTACAAATTCGGCGACTCGATGACTGATCTATCCATGTTCGCTATGCAACTTGAGAATAAGCAGGCGATCATCATACAGCACATTGGTTAAGCAAGCACAGCCGTGGTCCATTTTTTCATCTACCAACTTTTGCTGTATCTTTCTGGGAGGCATCTTCTGAGTTGGAGAAAGAAGTTGGATTTATCCAATTGGGACCCTTTTTTTCTCCCCTCTTTTTCCATAGCAAGATTCGCATCTTATTCACGAAAGAAAAATAGAAGGCAGAAGAAACGCAGAAGAGAAGAATAGGGGATAGAGTTCTTGAATGACATTGATAGCACATGCTATAACACCATTGTTCTTGAACCATCTGCAAGGCTATATGTGTTCGAGCACAGTCTTCTTCAATCCACTGTTTAAGAATCCATCATGTGTCCAAACGAAAAATGTTTGTCACTAATAAGTCGATAAAACATATGGCAGATTCATATGGTGAAAGCCTCGTGCCTTTAATTAAATGAATGAACAAGTATTTGACATTTGAAAGCGTTGTTATGATCATCTTGTCTGCGAGTGATCATCTTGTCTACCTCGATCGGGTAACTAAAACATGATTAAGATTACTTTTTTTTCTTTTTTTCTTTTTTTGCATAGGTAATTAATCATTGGGTTATTTTACAGTCCCCATGAGATTCTTAAATTACCATCCACCCCTGGATAAACATTGATGGAGCAAATTACAGTTAAAAAATGACATTGGCTTTTTGAGAATACCTCCACATGAGGGGGACCCTAAACACTAACTGTGATTTCTTGATTACGTACGTAAGTTTAGCAGCTAAACTAATCCGTTGTCGGGCAAGGTAATCAATTATTCTCCACGACGCTAGCCTACCTCTTCCACTTGGACCCAACTATACTGATCCCACGTGGCTCTCTTATGGCATCGGGCCTCCACACGCCACAGACGAAATGGCCAAACATCAAATCTACTTTTGGATAAAGCAAGCAATTCTCTCTTTAACAAGGTCAAATAATTAATTTAATCTTTGACCGACCATGAAAAAAGAGATTATTATAATGGGGTATTTCTCCGATTTAATAATGTATTAGATTTTTTTCTTATACATATCTGGCAGTATTCATTTTGTGACAGTGGCCTGCAGCCTCCATTAAGCACGTAGAAGGGCAGCTACGATACAAGTAAAGTGAAATTTCATGTTTGTAACTTTAGAATTTAGAAGTATACATATTTCTAAATGTTAGTAAATTAATGTACAATTATTAAAAGAAATAGTCAATTGAAATTAGTTAATTTTACTTCTCCTTGGAACATATTAGTGATCATAAATACTCCGCTCTAGAACTATACAAGAGTCGAGTCGAGTCGCTCGAGTCGAGTCGAGTCGAGTCGCTCGAGTCGAGTCGAGTCGCTCGAGTCGAGTCGAGTCGAGTCGCTCGAGTCGAGTCGAGTCGACTCGCTTGAGCTAATCCAATCAAACTTGAACTCAAAGATACTCAATTCTTTAACTCACAAGTCAACTCGATTATATATATATTATTTTAATAATAAAATTACATATATAGTCTTAATATTTTATTATTTATTAAAAAAATTATTATTTTGTTCATTTTTTAAAAAAAAATAATTATTTTTTTATTTTTTAAAACTTAAGTTCGAGCTCGACTCGATTCAAATTCGAGTTGAACTCGAACTCGAGCTTTACATTGAAACTCATTGAGTTCGAGTTCGAGATTGATAAAATTAAGTCGAGACTCGATTCGATTAAACCAAATCTCAGTTCGACTCAACTCATTTACAACCGTACTCCGATCCAGTTCCTTATCACATGCTATAACTATTAACTATAATTCAAGTCTGCTTTTATTTAGACTGCAAAATTGCATGTATAAATCTGAAGGTGATGAAACAAAATGCAAAAGGATACCAATTAATGAATAGTTAAAGGAAGCTAATAGATTTTCCTATCTTTGTTGTCGTTGGCTGTTCTCGCCTTCTTTTTGTTTGGGAAAGGGGGAGCTTTCTCGTTTCTTATCACAAACCAAATATTATAAACCGCATATCGAATACTTTTCCTCTGGAAAAATCTATACAGCTCAAAAGCTCCTTAACTTTTTCACGCTTTGCGTACGTGACCAATGCGAATCTTGGTCATGTTGATGATCTTAACTTAGAAAGTTTGTACATTGCCCACGCAAACATTTTTGACCTACAAAAAGTTCAGTGTGTCCTAAATCGGTGCCCATAACTGGCCATCATGAATCCCAAAGGCCACTTTGTACGGGTGCCCTTGACCGTAATACGGTTCTTTCTAAGTGTACTATTCACGGGATCGCGTGCGGAATAAATTTAATGCGTATGTTCAAGGTATTATGGTTATCATTTTTTTTTTGTCCACATAAATATCCTGACTTATGTCACTAATCCCTGCAGCTTTGTAGAGCTTGTCCAAGATGCACAGCACGTTATCAGTGATGGTCGATCTGACGATTTCGAGTAAAGATTCAAAGGCGATCACCATACAAGCTGCCCATCGGAGGTGTTATGATTATCATTATTTTTTATGCTAGCTGTTTTCTTATCAATTACTCCCTCCCTTTTTTTTTATAACTGACGTTTAAGAAATTTGCGCTAGTGTACTTTTATCTGTCATTTTATTATTCCCATACAGTATTAATTATTTTTTCACAATTTTGCCCTTTTATCTCTCTTTTTCAATACCGGGTTCTTAATTACTATTCCATTTAGTTTGCATTGCTTTTGGCCTAATAAAACAGCACCATTTAGTACTCTAGTGAGAAAAAATATGGGTAAATTGGATAATTAATGAGGGTGCAAAAGAAAAGTAGTGTACAGATTTAAGTAATGAAAAACTTTTCTTAATTAGTGTGCAAAACCTTAAACGTCAGTTATAAAAAAAAGTAGGGAGTATGATCTAAATGTATTGTCCATTCAAATTGCTGCAAATGTGAAAACTATGTTGATAGACAATTCCTCATGAATGGCCTTTGATATTAAGGGCGCCTTTAAGTCTAGTGATTAGAGCAGATTCACTCTAAAGTTTTTTATTACCCAAAAAAAAAAAAGAGTTGCCTAAATGTGAAGTGAAGAATCCGAGATTGCTTAATGAAACGACAAAGTCACTCACTTTCAACTCGAACTGAAGAATCCAAGATCAGAACTTGTTATGAGAAAATTTTCATTGTCGTCCATGTTCCATCCAATGCATCAAGCACTTGTATAGCGAGCATAAGTACATACATTGTCGATGTTATGTTATAAACGTGCATGGCTGTTCAAATTCACATGATAATGCATTGATTGCCATCCATGCTTTCTAAGAAGTCGTGATCTGTATCAGAATTTTCTTCGATATTGAGCAAGGAAGAAGATAAGGTTCAGGATGGGAATGACAGCATATATGGATGCCGCTACAAGGAAAAGCAGAATCAACTTTAAACTTAGGAGATAAAAAGAAAAAAAAAAAACTACGGGGGCGGTTCTTGGCATCGCACGGATCAGGCGCCTATGATATATGGTTGGTGAGGTACAAAATTGGTACATGAATCTTGAGTATAAATCACTAGTTGTAGCTGTCTCATTCCTTCTGCCATAAGAAAAAGAGGTAAGGGAACATATTTCATTCCCTCCTGCAGCCAGGTTTTGTGGTTCAGAAGATCTCTCCATCCATAAAATCAGATAATACTAAAAGAAAATCCACGATCTAGGAATGCTTGATAATGGTTATCTAGAAAGGTAAGATATGCAAATTGCAAGTGGCTACAGGAACAGCCCTTTGAGCCACAAGCTAGCTGACATTTTCACCCGCTTTTGTATGTATTGAATTTTATTCTTGTGGCAAAATCTTGTGGAGATTTTGTGCAGTTATATGATTCTCTTTGTCAAGATAATGCAAAGCTTGGTATCTGATCATGGCTAAACTATCACTATTATGCACATGCATGGCCGGTTGGCAATGCTTTCTTCTTTTTTTTTTTTTTGATTACCTTCCTCGCGTATGTATAAGACCGAATCCATTCGATTTCTAAATTTCTAAAAAGGATTAGAACACATACTGCAAAATTCAACAGATATGCAACTCATTGGAATCGAATCCGGGTCGTACAACTCCATCATTTAGCTAATGTAACCAGTTCATTGGCTGAAAGGAACCAGGTTCAATTTCCTTCCCCCTTTTTTTTTTGTTGTTATTTGCATTAAGTTCCAGCCTCGCACCCAGGGAAAAAATGAAAAGAAAAGAAAAGTTCTTTGTCACTAAAACAACGTATATCTCGATCATCAGCACTAGAGCTACATATGTGTGTGTGTCCATATATATATATGTAGACACACACACCAAGTAATAGTATCCTTTAGTATCCTTCAGATAATCGATTAGCTTTAACTACAAATCTTGGTTCTGGATTAGATTTTGGTCGATTGTCAATTCAAAACTCTGGAATCAGCATGTCAGCTACCAGGCATTTTCGAGGTGCCAAGGACTAGGAACAATATATAGAGAGTATTAAAGCCTCCTCGAATGAGATCAGAATATGAATCCATTTCCATCCTCTCAAA